GTGAAATACATACATTCCTAATTCATTTAAGTACCAGTATACAACGTGTCCTAATTTATTTAAGTACCAGTATACAACGTGACGTATACAGCATTGAAACTAATATTCCGGATTCCACGCAGTGATAATACCTTTTGATTGAAAAAGTCATTTTCAGTTCCCCGAGGAGTTCGAAAAGCTCAATGGATTACGACCTGAGAGAACGAAACCATCCGGTTCAACAAATTTTCCAGAATTACAGGTTTATGGACCTTTGCCAGACATGGTGGATTGGCGGCAACGCGGTGCTGTCACTAGAGTGAAAGATCAAGTACGTTCAATCAAACCTTTCAATGTGAATTTCAAATGATATTTGCTTTGCATTCAGTTTCAACAGTGCTTCAAATTTGCAGGGTGATTGCGGAAGTTGCTGGGCTTTCAGCACCATAGGTGCGATGGAAGGACAGCAGTTTCTGCGATCTGGTTCATTAACTGAATTATCTGAGCAAAATATTCTTGACTGCAGTGATGAAAAATATGGTAATTATGGATGCGATGGCGGTCTTATGATGAATGTGAGTTTGATAGCAGAAAATTAACTTTTTGTGCATATCATTAAAGTGATGGTGACAAATTTTCTAAACATATTCAAGTTTAGGCATTTGCATATGTGATAGACAATAATGGTGTTGACACAGAAAAATCATATCCATATCTCGGATATCAAGGAGTGTGCCGTTACTCAAATTTGACCCGTGGGTCAAGTGCTTTCGGAAGCAGATTGCTACCTTATGGTGATGAAGATATGATGAAACTCGCCGTAGCGGTAGTTGGTCCAATATCAGTGGCTTTCAATGCGAACCCAATAATATTCTATAATGGAGGTCAGTTATATATGAGGAAAAATTTGCATGACCTTAAAGTTTTATAGTTTTGTAATTTTTTGCGATCATAGTAGTTTGCAAAAAAAAAAATTTAATTAAAGTATTTTTTGTTCTATAATACAGGTGTTTTCTACGAAGAGGACTGCTCAGATTGGATCAACCACGGTGTAACTGCAGTTGGATACGGCACGGATAAAGTAAAATTGAAAAACGGTACAACCGTAATGATGGATTATTGGCTTCTTAAAAACAGGTTTGGCACATATATGTACTGTTACAAGTTTTGAAACAAATTTTGAAAAAAAAGTTAAACTACTCATCAAAAAAGCAAATATCATCAGACTTTAATTAGAAGAACTGCCATTTCAATGCACACTTTCGATAATCGAAGTGAATGACAACAGAAACTTTCAGCTGGGGCAGCGACTGGGGAGAGAATGGATATTTACGAATCGCCAGAAATCAA